CTGAGGAAGATAGTGGCTCTGGTCAGCGACCTCACAGCGGCATCGTAAAGCGGCGCATTCCACCAGAAGCACAGCGAGAGAAGCGTGGTTTAAACACTGTGTAGGATTTATACTTGAGAAATGCTAAGGCGTCGCCCGCCTACCCCATATGATTTTCATCTCGCGTGCTTCTGCACGCAGTTGCCCCCTTTCCGTCTTAGGCTAAATGTCTGGTGCATAGAACACTGATGGTGGGCAGAGTGGTTAATCCAAGAGCATTTGCTCGGAATAGAAACGACATTCGGGCGAAGAACCCCCGTGTGTATGATGCCCTGCACAGTACTAAGGACCCAGCTGTAGTCTACTCGAGGGCTGTGGCAGGAAGAATCTATATCAGTATAGCCTTGGTTTGGCACTTGCGTAACCCAGTAAATGCGAACAACTAACCTCAAAATATTCCGCATAACTAGCCTGCTAAGCACCAGCAACTATCCCTACGTGGTAACGAACGGACTACTGACCTAGACGTTTTGTGAGTAAATGTAAAAAACTTAAACTTGAAAAGCTGACAGACAAAACTTGCCATGAACAGGACCAGCACAAACAGAAGCTGGAATGGAGCAGCTTCAGTGCTGGCCCGCCGAAGGAAGTGTGGGCGTTGAAGTCGAGTTCCTGAGTATGTTCCCAGGGCTCAGTATGCTCGCTGCAAGCCAGTAGGGTTTTTAGCCAGAATACGCTGCTGTCTCTGATGGAGTGAGCTGTTGCCCATCCCACTTTGTGTCGCCAAGCACCTCTAGCACTTCCTTTCGAGGGTGCATAAAATAAGCAACCCTTTGATCTCGAAACGCGAACATTCTTGTTTGGCAGGGCGCTTCACGCGTTCTCCTTTGTTCGCCGAGCTTGAAATTCCATAATGACCAAAGCTAGGAGGCGGGGCCTGCACGGATCCAAAAGCGAGGCACGTGCCGCCTGGGTATAATTCAGCTGGATACTGCAATAGAGAGCTGTATTCGAAGCTGGCGGAACGCGCTGCGCTCATCAGCTACGCACTTTGCAGAAGTGCAGCTACACTTACACAACGATAAGTGCAGCAAGCGCCCCTAAATCTGAAGCGCATGTTTCTCTTCTAATTCCGAACGTCCCCTTGAGGAACTGCGAGGATAACAGACACGCAACTAGACGAGCTGATGTGTCCGTTGCTCCTGAAGCATGCGCCCCCACCCCAGCTTGATGGCTTCCAAGATATCGGCTTTTTTGGAACTTACGTCGTCTCCAGAAACTCGCTCTCCACCTTCACCAGTGAAGAACTCGTTCTCAAAAATTACCAAGCAAAATGCCGAGAGGGCATACTTAAATGGAGATAATGCCTGCAGCGGTTCATAGCCACACGCAATCGCGTAAAGATATATTGGATGAGGCGGGGTGCAAGTTCGGCGAGGAACTGCAGTATGCAGTATGCTTGCTCACCGCAACAACCTGTAAGAATGGGTTCAGCTGGTCGATCTGCGTCATGAATCCAGAAAACAGGGCTAGGACAACTTGGGCTACTTGCGTCACGGCAAGTGCGACGACCTCCTTCAAGCACCCAGCGCATCGTACAGAGAAAGAGCAGGTGGCGTACAACGAACACATAGCCTTGAAACAGTTCAGAAGGGAAGAGTTGATCGATATGCGCCCGCCAACTGGTATTACGCGGGATAAAGTAGGTCTACATTTCGTTGTTCATGTGTTAATCAATACGCATGCTGAAAAAGCCTCGACAAACGTTGTCGCAGCTGCAACCATCGAACGTTAGCAACACGCCCTTGCCGTGAAACGAACTTCAGGGCATGTCGTGCAATCCTGCTTCTTTGCGAAGAAGGCGTCAAGAATACTTACATCGGTCACTATTGCCGATATGAAGTAGCCGTATGACTGGAGAGATAAAACCGAAAGTAGCAGTACGCCTAAAGAAGCGAAGAACTTCGTTGCTGTTGCAGCCAGACCCATTATCCAGAAGGTGATCCTGGTGTCAATAAGGGGGGACACATGTACGAAGTAGGCACAAATGTGGACATTTCCCCCGAGAAAGCCACGCTGAGAGATGGCTGCATAATTAACCTTGACGGCTGGCCAACCTTACGTGTGGAATATGATGGGAAAAACCAGAAATAATATGGTGTCGCTGGTTGACGTCCCGATGAAGTATACCCACATGCGCAGGACACCTGCAAATGCAGAAAAAGCACTTCTCACTTGTGGTGTAAATCTAAGCAGCACACACCGCGTCAGCGGCTTCATCCCCCTTTGACATGGGCACGATCGCTGCATTTACACAGCGATACAAGCTCAGAAGTGCCGAGCCTAGTTTA